AGAGAGCGAGCCATGGCGTGATCAGGGGTTGGGGTGGGTAGGAGTCCCTGTTGCTGAGGCTCTCTGCTGGGAATGAACTTCAGGACTGCCTTATGCATATGAGGCTAGCACTCTACCATGGGCCTGCTTTCCAGCCCTGAAAATTAGTTTTTTAAAAGACACCTCAACAGTCAGTCCTTAGAAAGCCCGGGCTGCCTTTGCTTTTAGTCACTGTCATTAGCTGATGCCAAAATTGCCTGGTTTTTGAGGTCACACATTGGGCAGCATGTAGGGTCTTTCTGCACTTGCATGTGTGTGGGCTGAGATACAACAGGGGTCAGGAGCCATGAAGTCTGCTTGTGCCTACCCTTGATGATTTCATCTCTAATTACGTTCCTTAAAAAAATAGACATATAGGGTTGGAGAGATGGCTCAGAGGTTAAGAGCAGATGGCTGCTCTTCCAGGGGTCCTGAGTTCAAATCCCAGCATCCACATGGCAGCTCTCAATCCTCTCCTGGTCTGTAGGCATATACACGCAGACATAGCACCTGTATACATTAAAAAAGATATATAATATTTGAAATCTATTCTTTGAGAATTTCCTCCCCCACCCAAACCCCCTCCCCACCCACTTCCATTTCCAACTCCTCCAGAGGTCTTTTACTGCATCCCAAGGGTTTAGCTCCACCCCAGGTGGAAATCTACGAGCAGTTGCCAGCTGTGCTTGACTTTATTGGGAAGTTCTGGCTTCTGGACCAGGCATTCACTCAGCCTCCATCAGCACGCGCCCCGCTGTCTCTCACTGGGCTGCTGAGCATAGACCACCCTGGCAATCTAGCAGTCACTGATGACCACCTTATTATCCCCAGCAAACACTCACTGGCCTCCTTGCTGCAGGTGCATTCTTCACGAAGGTGGTGGATATTGGCTCCTCATCTCTGAAGCTTGAGATCTGGGACACAGCTGGCCAGGAGAAGTACCACAGCGTCTGCCACCTCTACTTCAGGGGTGCCAATGCTGCACTCCTGGTATATGACATCACTCGGAAGGTAGGGTTACCACCCACCTCCTCCCCTGGCCAACTATACTGTTTCCTGCCTTCTTCAGGGATCAATGGCAACGGAACATGCCTGGCGTCGTGTTTTATGGGAACTGCTCTATCAATGAAAAGGGACTATTAAGCCCATACTACTTACCTCATTCAGGAAGCCCTCTTGGTAACCCCTCACAGGCAGAGTTAGGCTCTGTTTCTCTGCAGTCTCCCGGCACACTCCTTACCCCTAATCATCACTATCAGTGGTGCTGGGGTGCTGCTGAGATGGCAGGGGCCTGTTACAGACGCAGCCCACTGTCAGAGGCCATCCATCTTGCATCACCAGAGGGTGTAGAAGCACCCATGGGGGTGACGCTGAAGAACTGGACTCACATGTCTGTGTGTGTCCAGCCTGGCCTAGGGTAGGGTGAGCTTGCTGCTCCATAGCCTCTAAGAGGAGGCAGGGATGTGGGAAGTAGCCATACTGCATGGGAGGAGGCAGGGAGGCACACTGAGTAGAGGAGGCCTGGGAGAAGGTCTCAGAGAAAAAGTTCCAGTGGATCCAGACAGTATGTCTGGAGATGGGTCCGCACAGCAACCCTAACTCCAGAGGACAGGAGAAAAGTGCCAAAGGATGCAGGGCCAAGTCCCCACCACCTGGCCTATGAGGAGCTGGTCTGGGGCGATAATAGTTCCCTTGAACTCTCTTGCACAAAATGGTGTCCGGAGTGGAGCTCCTGACCCCAATTGCCCTGTGACCTGGCTCTCTGGTGTGTGGTCTGGTTGCACCATCCTCCCCTACCAGGGTCAGCCCATCCTGGCTGCCCTCCCAGGGGACCAGAGTAGTTCCTTGGCATTGCATTCTGGGGAAAGGCCTTGATGTGGGACCTTTGCCTTTCTCTTCTGGCTAAACAGGAGAACTCCAGCATGGTTTCCGCTCTGTCTCTAGGATTCCTTTCACAAGGCCCAGCAGTGGCTGCAGGACCTGGAGAAGGAGTTCCACCCAGGAGAGGTGGTGGTGATGTTGGTCGGCAACAAAACGGACCTGGGCGAGGAGCGGGAAGTGACCTTCCAGGTGCCGCATGGTGGAAGGCAGCAGGAGGGAGTCCTTGTCTCTGTGGACTTGAGGGCTTTTGAGACCTTGACACCTGTGCACCACACGGGCACATACACACACACACACAGACATACACACAGACACACAGACATACACACACACACACACACACACACA